TGACCAGTGAGTTTGAGATGTCAATGATGGGCGAGCTCACATTCTTTTTGGGACTTCAAGTAAAGAAAATGAGAGATGGAACTTTCATTTTCCAAACTAAGTATTGCAAGGAGCTACTAAAACGGTTTGAAATGGACAACGCCAAAGCCATGGCAACTCCTATGAGCACATCCGACCATCTTGACAAAGACGAGAAAGGTAAGGAAGTAGTTGTCAAAAAGTATTGAGGTATGATCAGATCCCTTCTTTTTTTACTGTTAGTAGGCCGGATATTATGTTTAGTGTATGCCTTTGCGCAAGATATCAATCATGTTCGAAGGAATCGAACTTAACGGCAGTAAAACGGATCATGAAATATCTTGTTGGAACGGATAACGTTGGACTATGGTATCCCAACGGCTCCTCGTGTCATCTCGTTGGATACTCTGACTCAGACTTTTCCAGTTGCAAGTTGGACCGTAAGAGTACGAGTGGGACATGTGATTTACTTGGTAGTTCTTTAGTCTCATGGTTTAGTAAAAAAACAAGTCAGTGTTGCGTTATCCACAACCAAAGCAGAATACTTTGCCACCAGGAGTTGTTGTGCTCAAATCCTTTGGATGAAGCAACAACTAGTGGACTATGGCCTTAGTATCAATCGCGTTCCTCTTCGGTGTGATAATACTAGTGCCATAAGCTTGAGAAAGAACCCCATTCTTCACTCAATGACGAAACATATTAACATTAGGCATCATTTCATAAGAGATCATGTTCTCAAAGGTGATGTCAAAATTGCATTGAGTTCGTTGAAACAAACAACCAATTAGCCGACATTTTCACAAAACATTTAAAGAAAGAGTCGTTCTTCCGCATTCGAAGCAAACTCAGAATTCTTGACTCCACGATGATCTATATTGTATATTTTATCTTGTTAAACATGTACCAACTTGAGCGTCGGAGAATTTTTGTCTTTTTTGCAGGTACCCCACTCATCAAGTACAAAAATCAGGGGGAACCATGTCAACATCGATGTCAACCATGCAACATCGCTGTCTGAACATCGCTGTCTGAACATCGCTGTTTGAACATCCAACAACATTGTTATTGCACAAAACACCGTCAAACAGCAATGGTCCAACAACGATGTTACAAACTTCAACATCGCTGTAACAGGAAGTCCTTTCCTTTCATTCACTTCCAAAAACTTTTTCAACATCGTTGTTGAGATTCCAACATCGATGTTACAGGGAGTAGTCTCTTTTCATTCAAATCAAGTAACTTCCTTAACAACGCTATCTAATATGCAACATTGTTGTTCTGTTTTACAACCTAATTACGATTTCCCTTTGGGTGTATATATATCAAGGTCATTAGACACAGATTATAACCACCAATCTTAGGTCTCCCCTCTGCCTCTCTATTCTGGTGAGTCCCATCCTCAATTTAGCAATCATAACAATACACCATAAACGAGAACTCGATCTGATCAGAATCATGGCCTCATCTCTAACTACATTCACATGATTATTAGGTACACATGATTTCATTCCTAATTTATATCTTATGTTTAAGAATTGATCAACAAGAAACTACTCCCTTTGTAAATTTGACACCTTAACACATTCCCAAGTCAGATAAACGATCCCCATTTGCAAGCGAGATACACAGGTGTGGTTTAGGTATTTCTTATAGACCCACGTTTTGTGCAATATCCGCGTCCAGAAGTTATCCTGCTTGTCATAGGCCTCTGTGCGACAGAGGGATTTGATCAAATGCTACATAGATGGGGGAACGAAGAAGGAGAGTCGGGTGGGAGAAACTAACTTTCAGTTACATTGTGCTTCCCCTTTAATGGAATTACAGTTGTAATTTTACAAGGAATAAGGACATTTTCCAAATATATATAAAGCCAAAATAATATTGATTGCAATAAAATAGGAAATCAAATTAGTTAAAATCAAGAGAAGGGGTATTCAATGTTTCCTTCGATGCATGTTTAAAATTAGGTGTTTTGAAACACTTACCACATGGACCAATAAGAGGTAGACATGTGGGCACAATAATCCTCATCATTAAAGACCCTCTTGTTTATTACAATTGGCCCCAGGCCCCATAACTGAATTATTTTTTCTTTCCATCCCACTGTTTCTGTCATAGTATCACCATCTTCGTTAATTTTTTTGTGACCCGTCTCGCAATCTTCAACATCATCTCAAGCGTCGTCTCTGTCGGAATCAGAAACTGCCACTGCCGTCTTCCTCTACATTCGTCTGACTAAGTAATTTAGGCGCCATCTCGACGGACACAGGGTGTTAACCCTAGATTGACGCTCATTTCTTCAAGTTTGGGCTTAATCTCTCAGGTTCCTTTCTCCATATGTAATTTCTTCTTCGCAAGATTGTACGATAATACTTTCAAAGAGAATCCTAATTTTGTTCTTAATATCTCCGTAAATTCCTATGTTTGGTTGATTGATTTATTTAATTGATACATACTAAATTTAATTGAGGTCAACCAATCATCATCATGGATTGGCACAAAATTTGTACCTTATTGTTTCTTGGTTAGAGACAGGTAATTCTCTAACCACATGTAATTTTCTTCCACGTTCCTATGGAATAAACAATGTGAAAGATTTGGTTTGATGTTCTGTGAATTCATGGGGTAATAATTGATTAGGAACGTTAATTTCTTCCTACCCAAGAGCATGGATGGATAAAAGGGATGTGTAAAATATAAGGTGGACAAAATTAAGTAGGAATTAGATCAATTAGACAATAACATGGCATTCAACAATTCTTCGTCATTGCATGGATTTTATTTGCCTCCAATGTATGAAATACGCCCTTACATACCCGCACTTGCCTTCATCTTCATTTGTTCTTATGCCTAATTCAATGGTAATGACTTTTATGAGGTTTTGTTTAATTTGGTTGTAGTTCTAATGATTACATTTGGCTTTTAAAATTGACCTAATTCTTAATTCCATTTTCATAGAGTTACTGTAATTTACTCTAACAGGTAATGAATACTAGCAATTTTAATGAGATTGTTGGGTCTACTTCTGTAAAAAAACAACGTGCAACAACAATAATGAATGCTTAGAGATGAGCATCGAACAGGTAAAATATTTTTAAAAAATTTTATCTTGTAAATATGCCCTCACTTTGTTTCATTTTAAGTTTCTTAATAAACGCTTTGTAGTTGATTCCATTCATTATGTGAAAGAAGGGGAAGGTTCCCATGACATTGGGAACCAATGTCATGGGATGACCCGGGGGACTCCGGTGCCCCGTTCGTAAAATTGACGATTCCTACCCCCCTAACCCCCCGGTAAACCCCACCACCCCGCCCCAACCCGAACACACCCCCCACCCCCTTCAATTGCACCCCACAAGTCGATTTTGATTTTGGAGTCAAAATCTGACTCTAAAGTCAAAATTGACTTGTGGGGTGCAATTGAAGGGGGTGGGGGGGGTGTGTTCGGGTCGGGGCGGGGTGGGGGGTTTACCGGGGGGTTAGGCAAGGTGGTGAAAGAAATCCATCAATGATTCAATGCTCCATGCAATCAATTAATTCCATTGTACTTCTTTGTTGGATGTGGTTCTTTTTCCTTATTGAAATAGTGCATTACCAAATACTGGTATTAGGGGTAAATTTCATCCCATGGGATACAAACTTTCATCGTTATTTTTTAACTTCGCTATATAAACTTTAATTCTTATCACAAAAGTACATGAACTTTCAACATTTTTTCACCGGTGGTCCAATAGGCGGTTTCTAAGTCACTTTTAAGTCATTTAGTGTAAAATTATAATCTTATAAATTTAAATTTTATGATTTTTGACCTCTTTTGGTTTTTCCTCTTGGTTCTCCATCCTTTTTTCCATCTTTTTTCAAGACCCCTACCATTCCTCTTCCTCTTCTAGTCCCACCCCCACCCCACCCGCACCATTTTTTATGTTCTTCCCCTCTTCTTCTAGCTCCCCCTTTCTTCTTCCATTTCAATTACCGTGATTCGAGCCAAAGGAAAATGGAATCTGTCGATCAACGCAAGTTCCACGTTCTTGCCGCCGACGACAGCATCGTGGATTCCGGGACGAAGGCCCTCCGGGTGGTGGAGGAAGTGGAGGTGAATCTAATCATCACCGATTACACCATGCCCGGAATGACCGGCTACGATCTGCTCCGGGAGATCAAGGGCTGCTCCGCCTTGAGACACATCCCCGTCGTGGTGGACTGGTGGTGTCGTCCGAGGACGTCCCGTCGAGGATTCGCAGCTGCCTGTCGGAGGGCGCCGAGGAGTTCTGCCTCAAACCCGTTCGGCTGGCCGACGTCAAACCGCATCCCCTGAACGCCGCCTGCAGAGGAAGGCTGGCGGCCGGACTGAATCCCGCAATTTGCGGAACCGCTTGATTTATCCATTATCTTACGGAGCACTCTGTATTAATGCACATGCAAATTATTAGATCAAATTTGAGGAATTTAAATCCCTTTTTGTTTTGATACTAAATC